TTTGTCAATTCACTTGCGGCAAATTTTCTTGGAGGCTCTAAATCTATTGCTGACTACTGCCCTTTCAATACAGTATAGCTAATTATAATTATGATTGTTTTTAATTATTAATATGCTATTACAGGCTTTTTCTAATACTCATTGTGCTAATGCAAGCCATGCTATGGGCACAGGTTAGTTTTTGTATAATTATAACAAGAAGGAAAGTGTTGTTATTTTTAAATAAAAATATCATAATTCATTCTATTTTGGGAGAACGGCTGAAAGCATGTGAGGGAGAGATAGAGGGGAATGAGGAGGAAGGTAGGGTAAGGTGTATTATGTTATTAGGAGGAGTAAATATGTGTACAAACAAAAAATTAGTTTCAAAGGAAATATTGATGTAACAGAACAAATTTTTTTCTGCATTTATAGGTTTAAGTAATCCAAGAGCTGAAACGTATGGGGAAGGGTCAAGATGCGTTGAACACAATACTTCATGGGTAGCTGCAGGAAGCTCCAGTAGTGTACCACTTTCTTTCCCTCAAGCTGGCTGCTATCAGGTAAATAATTATATCATGTTTATTTCAATTTCTTAGTATTGCTATAGTATGAATGCTCTAATGGTGCCGTTACAATATTCATTCTTGGTCAATCATATCATTGCAGTCAAGCTGGAGAAGTGGTATGTTTAAGTTCTGAGGGCCGAGGGAAAAGGGAAAGCATTAATATAGTTCCAATCCATTAGTTAACAGTTAATCAAGTCAACAACAGTGTAACGTATACAGGAACAATTATATGTCCTTCATGTCTTGAGATATGTTATGTAAGTCAACTTAGCCTTTGTATAATAGTACACTGTATTTAAACAATTTTTAGGACGACTTTGAGAATTGCCCTGAAGCAGGTAACAAAAAATTTATTATCAAAATGTTTTATTTTAAAGTATACATGTACATGTAGCTGCACTTTATCAAGTGGGTGCTTCTACTGCTTCATCATCATCAACCACCGTCAATGCTACACCTGACCCTAGTGCCACAAATACTGTATCTTCTCGAAGTTCCCAATCAACCATTGTCAATGCTACTCCAAGCAGTACAACTGCTCCTAGTACTTCTCCTACTAGCAGTGGATATGGTCTCATTCCATTCCTCAGTCTCATGCTGTTTGGAATTTTAACTGCTATTTTGATGAATATTGCCAATTGACACTAATTTTTATTGTTAATTTGTGTTTAGTTTGTTTTTAGCCCAGTGATATGTATTTTTATGATTTTAAAAGATAATTTATTTAGTTTAGCCAGTTATAATAGTCTCAGTGATTGGTGGTAAAGTTGGGGGACAAACATACAGTG